AACTCTAACATCAGACAAACAAAGGAATTCGTAGATCGCCTGCATGTAGGGAAGATCACGGGTTCCCAATACATGTCTTACTTCACGGAAGGGTTGTCTAACTCGGGCCACTATGGTATCCAATAGTCGTGCTCTGGAGGCGTCATTACCCGGGCAATACCAAACTGCGTGATCGATGTCATCATAACCGGTTCTGCACCTAAATATATTGCTTTCAACAAGGTGTATTCTGTAGAGATGTGCGTCTAGCGAGTAGTGGTTGGATATAAGCGAAGACTACAAATCAAGAAGACTGGCAACTCTGCCAAAAATCAGGAGACAGTAACGGCAACGCCTCTTCTGAGCAAAAATGGAACCCGTATATGATGGTGTGTGTTAATTCACGAGTGCATTCACACACATAGGTAGAAATAGCTGTCCTTGGTTTTGTTATGATTGTCGTAAAAAGTGAAACGTTTCTTTTTTTGGCTTTATGCTGAAAACGAGTAAAATTCCAGCTGAAACTGAACAGATGCGTAAGTAAATTTGTTTTGAAAATTAAAACTATGGCAATGATGCCATTCACAATGATGGTAGGACCTTCCTCGATCATTAATTTGCTATCTCAGGTTTATCTTCCACTTTTCCTAAGCCCTTTAGTGATGCATTTATGGGCATTCGTATGATGCATTAGTGAAATGCATGCCCGTTCCTTACGGCTTTGGCACCTGACCACAGCGGGGGGAGTTAAGTTGTGACGCTCGGCAACTTGCCACAGTACTCGCTGACTATTTGAATGTCATTGGCCAATCCGACACTGTTGTTATCATTCTCTGGAAGGGGTCGGTCGATTCCAAGAATTGTTAAATCATACAGAGGATCACTATCTGGTGGTTTCATGTTCTGACAACATCTAAAATGGAAATATATGCTTTATCAATACGTACCGTTTGGGAGTGTAGTCCTTCAACCTTTCATTTTCATTTTCTCCATCATTAGATCCTGCTACGCCTTCCGTTGGATCGTGATTTAAGTACCGGATCTTTCTTCTTTTTGAATCCTTGAATTTTCAGCAGCTTCCGAATGACGGTAGTTCACTCAATGGTGGTGGAAGTTGCCAATTCCTTATAATTGATTGCTTCCAACAGGCAAAATAAACAATATTTCGGGTCCTTGTTCACAAGTAAAAGTTACTTTCACTAGGTATCGATCCGAGTTTCAATCCTCTACTTGATACACCATGACAAGTTTTTCGGTTTGGAGTTGGAAAACCAGCGGCTTGCTGGGATTAGGATACAATGTGCCGTGAAATTTTGTAGAGCAAAACAAAAACAACAACGAGTACCGTGTTATGATTATTCGTTTCGGTGACATTAGGTAACACACACAGTCACTTTTTATGAGCAGTCTCACTAACATTTGTGCTTCAAAGTTTCACCTTTAATTGATAGAGGCGCTGTTATCAGTGACGCTTGACATTTGTATGGAAGAAGGGAACAGTTGCCAGTCTTCTTGATTTGTTGTCTTCGATATAAGTCTTGACATCACGCGGATGAAGCCCCGACTTACATTCAGACCTTTGAACCACGCTCTCGAAGAAACATTTGGAATTATGGAATGTAACCACCGCCCAAGAGAATTACATGTCCAATCGTTTTGCCAACTTAAAAGAGAACTCTGACGTACTAATGGGAAAAAATCTATCATAAATCTTCACCTTTGTGAGAAAGTCTGCTTCTCATTGCCTGGGGTTGAGCAATGTGAGGGGACTCATGCAAAGGTAATCATGTATGATCTTTCGACCAGCAAACTCATCTACCCCTTAAGGAAATAAGATGAGTGCCTACCTTGTCGAATAGCCTTAATCGAACTGAGGCTATCCGAGCAGATGAAGTAATGATCTATGAGCATGTCGGAAATCATCCCCAATGCGAAGTTGATTGCTGCTAGCTCAGCAACATAAACGGAACAAGGTTCCTCAAGTTTGCGAAAGGCGTTTGAGTATTCATTGAAGACGCCGAAGCCAGTGGATCCATTAATGCGTGATCCATCGATGAAAAATCTTCTATTGCAATTGACTTGTTGGTACTTTTCAGCAAAAATACGGGGAATTGAGAAAGGTCAAAGTTGATCTGGAACTCCTTGAATAACCTGTTTCATGGAGAAATCATAGTCAATGGGGGAACTGTAGTTAGTAAAGCATACACGAGGGGGGGGGGGGGGTGTTTATAGCACGGAAGGCTAATCACCGACAAACCGACATGACACTTAATTCTGACTCATGTCCGAAAATCGTAAACGGCCGATTTGAATGTGCAGTGATTCGAGGATTTTTTTAATCTAGATAAACATAACTTGTCCAGAATAGATCAGACACGAACCAATTCATAACTTTTGCATGGAGGTTCATGGCGTATCTAAATATTTTCTGCGAACACGGAGTCAGATGTCATTAGTGTGCTTTAATCAAATTCAAATTTATTGTTTTTGCTATGTTCAGTCATGTCGGTTTGTCGGTGGGCTAATATCCGATGACATATAATCAAGATAGATTTGCACGAATCTAGACTGGATGCTCAATTTGAGCATTTATTCGAAGTTTTCAATCACAAGGTTGTTACTGACACTACATTTAATCGATATTCTTAATGAGAGCTTAAACGGTTATGCAGGGGTTTTACTCCCGCTAGAACCTCTAGGCTCATATTGTGTGTTGAATGCATACAGCCAAGGACAATACGTAAACAACAATATTGAATGCATTCCAATTTAGTTAGGGGGCTGTTTCTTGCTGAGAGGAAGCAAAAAGAGCCATACTCAAGAACTGAAAGAATAGTCGTTTTATACAGTTAAATAATTTGAGTTGCAGCCTAGCTTAAACAGGCAAAAATGAGCTGAATAAGGCATGTTTTGCCTGCATAAGCTTATTTGCAACTAAAATTGTTAGTTGGGAAGTCATGTTACCCCGGGGGTGAATTTTACCCCATGTACCCCAATAATGGAGAGATTTCTCCCTTTAATTTGGGTGTAGTTTCAGATTCTTCGATTGTTTGTCGTACATCATTGTCACCCAGAAAATCTACTTCCACTGTCCTAAAGCTGCAGGAGAAGAGCCTTTGAACGTTGCTATCAGGGGCTGTCCATATACCACGAGCTCATTTTAAGGGAGAGGGGAGTTGTTGGTGAATCTCAACGGTCCATGCAAGTCCACGCGGGGAGTCCAAAATCCCCTAAAAACTGTCCACGTGGTATCTGGACAGTCCCTTGTATTGCCAATCCTTTTATGTTCTCCCTTATCGGCTATCAAATGTACAACATTCCCTCCATATATGCCGGTGGGTGGTACCGTCCACCCACTTCTATTTCTCGATTGTCATTCAACCAATTACGTTGATTTTTCGTATTTGATTAGTGTCCACCACAATCTAGTTATCTGGAGAAAATCAGCTCAATTAGTTGAAGGACAGCCCAGAAGTAGCAGTGGGTGGGCGTTACCACCCACCGCATATATGAAGGAAATACTGTATGTGCAACCGAATAGAAGAAAAACCTATCCACAGCAGAATATGAGAATTGTACAAGGAATCCATGCCAGAGAAAACGAAAACAGGAACGACAAAAAAAAAGTCCCCTCGACTTCCCAGAACAACAGCAAACCGAGGAGTGCTTCCATTCGAACCGGACGGAACAACATTTCATACATAATGAAGTGCATACACACCGTTCGTTCGGCGCTCACCTCCTTCTGCCGCTTTTGTTCTCCGCTTTCGTAGGTATGTGAGGTCGATCCTTCATCGCTGCTAATCCGGCAAACAAATTGCATTCTGCCAGCATGCTGCAGGAGGCAGGTGGGTAAGTACGCATGTGTATGTCGTGTACTATTCCCCATTGGGAGAGGTGGGGGGGGGGGTACACTACGATTCACCTCCCCCTCCCTTTCCAATCCACTTTCATCGATATCAATCCTTTCTATTTCATATTATAGCTTGTAGGTATATCGAATATCGTTCAACAGGGGCATCCCCGATTGGATGTTGGGGATATTGTTTATGCTACTAATGCCAACACAATACCCCTCATGCTTCAATCCCAGCCCGTCAGTCTAACAATGGTGATGATGGTATTATTGCTTATGATTCCGTTCAGTTTGCACTAATCTGGCTGCTTGTTGTGATTATGAGTGGATGCCAACGAACGATTGTAGGTCGATTTGGATACACAGGACAAACGGTGGCCCAGATTGGCGGATCATTAGTGATGAAGTCAAGCACGAGAAGGCCGTTCGCGATGTGTGATATCCAAATACCTAATCTTGATGCGACTTTCAGATTAGAACTGATATAATCGATATAACTTAGGGACATTTGTGAATTCTAACTATCTTGTTCTTAATAAAGACTATCTTGATATGAGCACCCATACATGAATCTTTGTTTGGAAATCAAGATATAAACTATATTACGTAGCAATATCGACAAATTTCACAAATTACGTCCGTCTCCATAGAAAATACCCTGCACCATGGAGGTGGTGGATTTGTCCTACTATATCGTACTGGCCAACAACGTGCCGATGCAATCCTTTCATCCTATAAACGAATGTTCCAAGTGACTGCAAATGGCGCAAAGTCAACCTAAATTATATTAGAGAACATTCTCTCCCTCGCCGCTGCCGAATCGTAGAACCCGTCTCTTCAGGAACAGCATGAACGGGACATCGAAAACAGAACACGATACAGAACCGATTCTCTCCGCTCGCGTCGACTCTCCGTCTCCACAGCAGCATCAGCTGCTGCAATAGCATCATTTTGGTATACCTCTCTATATACCTGCCTAGAGACGACTCAATAACACACCGACGACGACCCGTTCACGGAAAAAGGACACCCGTCGGCGACAACAGTTGTAAATCAACTCCTGACGCGTTCGGATCAGCCTGTTCGTAGTGTTCGTCACATCAAAGCTGATTAGAATATGTTTTAAAGCTCAGCAGTATTTATTAGGATTCGTCCAAGAATGATGATGATGATGCCAACCGGTGGCAGCAGGCAACCGCGGATCCCTTCGATGCTTTCGCTGGTGGACGGTGGTAACGGTGGCAGCGGCAGTGCGAATGCAGCCCGCCGTCAATCATGTGTCGCGAATTTGCCCTCGCCATCGGTTCACGTGCCGTCGATTTCGGCTCGGCTGAGCAACGGGTTCCCACCGCGTCCGGGTGGGATCGGTCCCGAGTTCGACCGCGTAATCGTGATGCAAAACGGCGGATCCGGAGTGCGACGCTGTGAGGAAGACGGTATTTTAGCAACGGCGGATAATTTGAATGGTGCTGGCGGTGCTAACGAGGGCAATCATAATAACGATGATGGTGGTGTGAAATCGGCGGCGTTAAAGACGGGACCACTGGGGTTAGTTAAGAGGATTTGTTCCGATGGAGTGCTTTCGGCGACATCCTTCGGATCCGGATCGAGTGATGGCGCTTCCGGCAACTATTGGATGCTGATGATTACGCCGGTTGTGAGCAGGTTCGTGCAGTAATAAGTTAACGCATTGGTGTTTAAGGTGCAATTTACTTTGGTGCGAGTTCCTAAAATTCGACGTACAATCGAACTGGGTGTGATATGACCATCGACGTTTTTCAAGTACTTTTAAAGCAGAAATTTATATGTAAATTTAACTAAAGCATAGCTCAACCCACCTCAGTTCTGGTTGTAAAACCATTAAATTTCGTTTGAAAAACTGCTGTTGATCATATTACCCCGCTGGCGCGTTTTCCCCCCTATCATGTAAGATTGCGAAAAGCAGTGGTCATTGCATGTTTTTCATAAGATGACTACTGTTTTTTTGCAAACCGAAATAAATGTGCCGAAAAAAAAACTGCATTCGAAGTTTTGGAGCAAAATTAAATTTTATCTTAATCCTAATACGTGCAAATCTCGACGGTATACTAGTTAAGTGACGCGAAGTAAAATGTTGTCGGAATTATTTTTAATTTTATTAATAACAATGAGCATGTTTCCGCTGAAACCTGTCCCTTTTCGTTCGAGGTTCTTGGAAACCATTAGTTATTTACATAGAAAAATCGTTCTGCATCGATCTGAAACCCTAGTTCAAGGGCTTAATCAGTTTTAGAGTTAATAGCAAAAAAATGTTAATTTTTGACTCGACCTTCTCCGATTTGCATGAACTTTGCATAATCAGGGTGTTGACTCAATGAAGAAAACCAAATTCCCGGATATTCCCTGATTTTCCAGTCATTTTCAATTAAATTCCAGGTACAGTACCTGCCCGTTTTTGGCAACCCAACTATTACTTTCCTCAGATCAGTGGCGGAAGCAGTATTTCTGTCTAAGGGGTGTACAATCAGGTGATCAAAACTAAACATTTTTATTTAATTTCATGATTTGAAATCCTCGGAAACTATTCCCACGAAGTTTAAGAAATGTTACGTTTCCCAATTCGAAGGGAACTACAGTTCGTTTTTTTGGGAAATCACTAAAAATGACATTTTCACCAAAATATCTTTCCCGCGGTATTATCTTTATGAAAAACTATCAAAAACTCAAAATAATATTCCAGTGGAAGTTTATGGAAACTTTTTGAGAGTTCGGCAAGAACTTTCAAAGAAGTTGGGAGCAGTACTGCTTTGGTTGCACTCATTTGATCTAACAGTCATCGTCAAAGCAAACCATGTCAATTGTCATTGACAATGCTGTCAGTGACGAACACGTGCAGATTTGTTTATTAGCTAAATTTGTAACGAAATTAAATGACTTAAGAACAAAACAATTACATGGAGCCATTTAAGTGAACAAGCATCTACGTCCAGAACTGCTTGGATAACAATAATGTGCCACAGAATGCACGAAATTACACTTTTTGGTATCTTTGTCATTGACGAAAAAAATGAATGAGATTTTGAGGAAGATTTTTTGAGGATCAAGTCTGTCAGTGACTGTGTGAAAATGTCAATTTTGTCAATATCGCTCGAAAGTCTGTGAATGACAATGACAAATCTCAGCACTGGTTGGGAGAAACTTCCGGATGAAGTTGAAAAATACATCTGGGAAATTTTGGAACAAACAGAATTTGTTGGAAGATAAACATCCAAGAACAGCTTCCGGAGCTGGTCGGAAGAATTTTTTTTGGGAAAGTCTTCCAGAGAAAGTCTGAAGACTCTTTCAGGGCAAGTCAGCAGAACTCCAGGAGGAAGTCAGAAGGATAGATCATTAACCTTTACCATCCCTCTCCAAAGGGGAAGTTTGGTAAAGAGAGATGATAAAACCGATTTCTACCTTCCTAAAGTTGTCCTAGCTCGCTGTCTACTCTCTATATGCAATTTTCACACTGCCGTACTCTAAACGGAACTATAAATTCTATACTTTCATCTCCTCATCTATCGTATAAAAATTATCACTTTAGTTTGTTATTTGAAATTAGCATCTTCAACTATGGAACTATCTATATTTCGAGGTAAATTTAGGAAATTTGTATGGAAACAATGTTCAAAAAAGCCTGGATGTCCGTAGAGTTGTTGAGAAAATCGAGTCAGTGCTGCATTATATCATCAATATCACGTGACAACTGACGTGTTACATTTCTCGATTCTCACTGACGAAACCCCTATTCAAAAGTTGACTGACAACATATGATTCGACACGACGTGCGTTGCTTTGCTTCTTCACTACACTATGACAGACAAAGTAGTCCGGCAAATTTTTGGTTAAAGATTGAGATTGTTGCAACCTTTTGACGTAGGACTACGTCTTTGATTTCTATATGGGGGTACACTTTGTGAAAACCGAAAATGGAACATGTAACAAATTAAGAAAGATTTTGAACGTTAATAACTCAGCTGCCCCTGGTCCAATTTCAATAGTTTTATCACCAATCGATCAGAAATATGGCTACGCATCGATAACAATGCTTCCAAATATTGATTTTTAACAAGAAACTATTTAAAACCTGGTAAATGTCCAGCATTGTCCAAAAGCGTCGAATCAACTAACAAATCCACCAATTACCTACATGCATATGCTACTTCCCCAGCACAGTCGTCAGAGAGTAGTAAGTAGACGAAACAAGTCGAAGTGGCATTCGCCTACGATCCTCGGGCGCGTGCGAATAGGGAGGATGGAATTGCGTAATATTTTGCACACTCATCGCCATATTCAGAACCAAACGCAAATTCTTCGAGATAACCACCATCCGTCGTCTAGCTCGTCGTGGCGCTGTCTGACGTATCTCGTATCTCTGACGAGGTGTGCTGAAGGTGTTCCTGAAAAATGAGATCCGTGATGCTGTCACCTACACTAAACACGCCAAGCGTAAGCGGCCATGGATGTCATCTACGTTTTGAAGTGACAGAGACGCACTCTGTTTGGTTTCGGAGGTTAAATCATCACCAACTTTGGCAACAAAACGGCTCTTTCCAGGGCCACCAAGCTTATTACAGTAAAGAGTAGGAATAGAATTCATCTGCCTGTTTGTCCATATTCAGAACCAACGATCACACAAAATGCTCATGTAATCAAACTGGAAGCAGGGGTACAAATTATTTTGATCAACTTTGAATCGCCACGGCCGAATATTTTCGATGGAAGAAGCAACAATCTAACATCTAATTCGACGAAGACGGCAGGAAACATTTGTGAAGCCGAGTTATTTATGGAAGAGAGTGTCGATGAAGATAATCGATCAATGTAGATAGGATCTATTGAAAAGTGACGCGAGATTTGTTTTCCGTACTGAGCTCCAATACTACCGACGCCAGGGAGGCAGCTCCCACACCTAGACCCTACCAATCGGCTCATCAACTCTACCGGTGACCAACGGCTTTACTTCCCGAAGCAAGGCGTGATCAGAGATGTTATGCCTTAGAACATGCCGGTGGCGCCGACTGAGATTGGACCCAGGCCTGCTGGGGTGAGAGGTAATCACGCTAAAGCTGGGTTTAGACAGGGCAAGTCAATTGATCAATTCAGTTGAATTCAACTGACTTGAACGCGAATTGAACGTGTAAACCATGCCATTCAACTGACTTGATCAACTCACTTGAATTGAAAAAAGTTGAACCAGGCTCAACTTTTCAAGTCAATTGAATTCAAGTGAGTTGATCATTTGACTTGCCTAATCTAAACCCAGCTTAACCACCGGCGCCGATATCCTTCAAGGTGATATCACGGCGAATGAGAACGACCCAAATTTGAGTTTAGTTATCTCAGAAATAAGAAATAAAGTGCAGGAACTCAGCGATGAGTAAATTTGCCTCATGTTTTCCCAGGATTTTCCAGGGAAAAATTCCCGAATTTGAGAAAAGTAAAGATTGGATTCACTCAGTCTATTGGTACTACTCCGACACTGAATAAAATTTTCGTCAATTTTCTCCTTTTCTGGCAGATTTTTTAGGTTTTCCACAGGAAACCATGATACAAATTTACTCATCGCTGAGTTCCTGCACTTTTGGCGATTATGAGTGAACTAAACTCAAATTTGGGTCGTTCTCATTCGCCGTGTACGCAAAAGGAAAAGAGCCAGTGTCGCTACTTGATAGCAAACTACTCATAATGGGAGGAGTCTTTGTAGGTTTTATACCACTTGGGTTGCACATCATTCTGCTTTAACCTGAAAAGATATAAAAGAGCGCTAATGTATGGCATTAGCTCATTTTCGCTTCGGACGGCGTTGTGAACAGCAATAGCAGCAGTAGGAAGGTAGTGGCTAGTCCACTCCTTCACACCTAACAAGCAACAATTGACTGGTCGTGGCAAAGGAGCAAAAGGTCTGGTAAAGGGGGCGCCAAACGTCATCGCAAAGTTCTTCGAGATAACCGCCATCGGTCGTCTGGCTCGCCGTGGTGGTGTCAAACGTATCTCCGGTCTGATCTACGCGGTGTGCTGAAGGTGTTCCTGGAAAATGAGATCACGGACTCTTGTCACCTACACTAAACACGCGTCCTCTTCAATAAAACGGCCCTTTTCAGGGAGAGTTGGAATAGAATTTATCTGTGCTTGTTTGTCCATATTCAGAACCACAAGCACCCAACGACCACACAAAATTCTCTCCAGAGTTGTAATCTTGTAACCAAACTTGGAAGCAGGGGTTCAAGTGATTTTGATTGATTCTCTTAATCAACTTTCTCTTTTTGAAAAAAAAAAATACTACAAATTTGGTACGCCTACAATTCAAAAACGGAAAGAGTTGAGATAATAGATAATTGATCAATTAAAAGAACTAAACGCTCTTCACATTTATTCCGTACACTAGCTGTCCTACGTCAAGCTTCCGTTCGTACCCCTAGACACAGACCCTTCTACTTTTTTTTAACTCTTCATTTGTTCTAAATTCAAAATAAATTACATTTCTCGATTACTTTTTGGAAGTGACGTAAACTTGTAAACAATGCATTTGATCGTTGATTTGGTGTAACTGGTAGCTCGCACACGCATACTATCACCACTATCAGGTTGGAGTAAACTTCCCCTGTCTGATGGTACTGTTAGCATGCGTGAGCGAGTTGCCAGTTACGCCAAATTAACGATAAAATGCATTGTTTACAAAAGCTGATACGTCCCTTTGAAAAATAAATCGAGATTTCATTTTAACCTAGGTGCTCCAGCAACTACAGTAACTTACCAGCCTTAATTGTTATGATATATCTAAGTGTTTTTACATTGTACCTACCTTTTTCAATTTAGCAATCAAACCTTCATGCCAAACACTGTCGAAAGCTTTTTCTATGTCTAGAAGAGCAACTCCAGTTGAGCAGCCTTCAGATTTGTTTGAACGAATCAAATTGGTAACTCTTAAGAGTTGATCAGTAGTTGAATGCCCATGGCGAAATCCAAACTGCTCATCTGCAAAAATGGAGTTCGTATTGATGTGAAGCATCATTCTATTTAAAATTATCTTTTCAAAAAGTTTACTTATTGAAGAAAGCAAACTTATTGGACGGTAGCTAGAAGCTTCAGCTGGATTTTTATCCGGCGTCAAAATTGGAACAACTTTTGCATTTTTCCATTTACCAAGGAAGTATGTCAAATCGAAACATCTGTTAAATAATTTTACCACAGACAAACAGACATAACACATTGAATAGTTCTCACTGTAAAACATCGTCGCTAAAACATTACCGCCATCTGTTGAGTACACTGTGGTGGGTAGTACGCTGAACAGATGGCGGTGGTGTGTAAACGTCAAACGCAAGGGAATTGACTATGCGCGCCACAGGTGGCGATACTACCAACTATGATACTTTCAAATTGACCGTTAAACGCTTGTTCGATGAACAACTTGCGAGTGTTATGTCTGTTTGTCTGTGATTTTACCAAGAAAGACAAGGTACTCTCTACGAGTTTTTTGATGAGGATATAGAAAATTCCTTCATCACCTGGACCTTTCATATTATGAAACTTTTTAGTTATAGATCTTACTTAGTCTAAATCTTCTTCTCCTTCTTCTTCTTCTTCTTCTTTGCATTTCAAGCTTATTTCATATTGGATATTAGCTTATTGCGTGCTCTCAACTTAGTGTTCTAGATGCACTTCAACAGTTATTAATTGAGAGCTTTCGATGCCTGTACCATTTTTGTATTGGTATAATTGTGTGGCAAGTCCAATCATACTTCTATGCCCAGGGAAGTCGAGAAATTTTCCAACCCGAAAAATTCCTAGACCGGACCGAGAATTGAACCCAGCCACCTCCAGCATGGTCTTGCTTTGTAGCTGCGCCTTTACCGGCTGAGCTAAGGGAGGCCCCAATCAGTCCCCCATGAATCATCAAACATATTTTCCCGAGAGAAAATGTTCAGATAATTCCTGGTAAACCTGATTCTCAATTTGACTAGCAAGACCCAAACTGAAATTATGGGAACTCTCGAATTGCTTAGCAAGTTTCTGAGCTTTTTTCCAGATTTGAAATCAAAATTTCACCACCTTCTTTAAGCGCTGGAATAGGCTTTTGAGTTTTTTTTTTCAAAATTTTTGTAAGTTTCCAAAAGGGTTTCGACCTCGGGTCTAATTTCGAAACATTGGTTTTAAAAGTTTTGTTCCTCAGGGCAGAGAATCGCTTTTTAATTTGTTTTTGCAAATCCCGTCAGATAAATTTCATGACAGGATCGCGTGTTCTTTAATATTGTCTCCTACGGACATTTTTAAGACGGATCAAGAGCTGAAGATCATCGTCTATATTGAATCGAATTTAACCTCGCATTTTGGTGCTGAGGCAGCTCTTGCTTATATTTAGATAGAAGTTATATTCCATAAATGTTCGATATTGCTCCCAATCAGCTCTATGGTAATTGAAAGTAGAGCTGTTGCGATCCGGAATTATTTCTTGGGATATTTCAAAAGCTACTGGAAGGTGATCAGAACCGATATCAGCATGGGTAACCAATTGGCTACAAAGTTGACATGAATCAGTTGAGACCAAATCAATAGTTAAGGGATTTCTTGCTGAAGAAAAGCATGTTGGGCTGGTTGGATATTGAATAGTGTAATAAACTGAAGATTACTTTGAGCATTATTCCATGAGCGGTGTTTTGCATTAAAATCACCAATAATGAACAATTTAGACCATGACGGGTAAGTTTCCGAAGGTCACCCTTGAGAAAATTCTTTTGTTGGCCTTCGCGTTGCTGGCTCATGCCGCGATTGAATGGCACTATGGGCAGGCGACGGGGATTACAAAGCTTCCCCTCTCTGATGAACCACTGAATGAGAAAACCAAAGATCTAGTCTAGCAGTGATAGTATCACACTTGTTACTCCTTTGTTTGAGAGCCGAGTCGTAGTACGCTTACTTATAGGCACTGACTTCTCGTTCGTCTTGAATTCCTAGAAATCATCGAGAGAAATCACTGTTTACAAAAGCTGTTCGTCTCTTATTCTAGCTCTATCTAGAATTGACTTAAGCTGTGTTTAGACAGGGTAAGTCAATTGATCAAGTCAGTTGATTTCAACTGACTTGAACGTGTAAACCATGCCATTCAACTGACTTGATCAACTCACTTGAATTGAAACCAGGCTCAACTTTTCAAGCCAATTGAATTCAACTGAGTTGATCATTTGACTTGCCTAGTCTAAACCCAGCTTTAGGGCGCTTCTGAAAAATTTAGTTTTCTAGCTCCATCTCGTGGAAGCAATTTTGAGATAACTGTTGGAGCTTGCTACAAATTTTGACGATTGAAGTAAATCGATATCTCTTTTATTTTTTGAGCAAAATAAACCCTTATCCAAGATACCAAACACCTAAAACTTAAGACAAATGCATTAGGAATTGCTGCATCCTGGACAGAGCTATTTATCAGTCATACTAACTTTTTGTTGGGACCGAGCTGTCAATTTGTTAGTTTAGTGTCAATCAGCAAAGTTGTTATTTTGCTTTAAATCTTGATTTAAAAATCGAGATGAACGTCTATGGGATCGAAAAAAAATATCGTGCTCAGAAAACGAAAATATTTCTGATGATTTATAAAAATCGGTATATTTTTCAAAATTAAAAACCCAATTGAAGATAACAGTGCTAAGATTTTGATTTGTGCACTTGTGTTCAATGAACACTGTTCATTGACTGACACGACCACGTTCTCATGAAAAAAACCCTTCAGATACATGATATAGGCCATGCGTCTCCATAGGGAAATGTAAATTTATGGATTTGTTTATTTTCTGATTAATTCTCCTTATTCCTAACTCTTTCAACAGTTTCTCGGTTGCCCTGGTGATTGCAGCCGTGGCGGGACCGCAGTGGTTGTTCACCGAAGAAAAGATCCCGAACAGTGGCTACAACGGGACGATGAACTACAATCTCAAGGATGAAGGCGTTTACCTAACCAAGTACACCAAAGCTTCCCTCTGGATGCTGTGCAGTAAAATGGGTAAGTTGTCGGTGTCCGGCTAGTTAAAGGGTACACACTTCAATCGACAGCCATAATATGTTTAAAAAAAAAACGACTGGCTGATGATAAGGACTGTTGTTGGGAAGGCGCGAGCGCTATACATAAATTACGTAACGCAAAAAAAATCCGGATTTGGGACCCTCCCTAATGTATCAATAAGTAACGCCAACTCAGTCAACCCCTTTTCCAAGAGTCGTTTCATTTCAATTTATTTAGACTATTTTACGAAATGACAGGAGCCAGTTGGCCTGACAGAATTTGATGATATTGATGTTGCTTCTCACAGCCGTAGGTTAACTGCCTCCTGTCAACATTAATTTATGAGTTGAATCAGAAACGTCTCGTAAAATGCTTTATGCAATACTTGTGAAAACATTAATACGTGGATTTATTTCTGGAGTCCTTTTTGAATGGGTCCATGTTTGAATAGCTAAAATCGCAATTAAAGGACGCTCATTTAGATTTTGTTTAACTGGCACCCTGACAGACGTGCTTAATGGCGTTACGCACCAGTGCTGCTTTTAGCTGTTCTAACTAACGGAGTTCTACTGTATAATCTTTAATTTAATTTGCACCTGTAATCGATTTTTCAAAAGAACTCCAAAATTTTACAGTTTCTCTTTTCGCATTTGATTTGTTTAACTTTGGTCAATCTGTTACATATCATTTCCCATTACCCCCAACACCCTACCTCCCCCAGATATTAAAAAATAGTAACACATTACCGACCCTCCCCCCTCCATGCGTTACGTAATTTGTGCATCAAGCCAAATGGGGAAAAAACTGAAGAGGCAAAAAGAATCACACCAACAGCCGAACGTTGGAGACTTTCTCTACTCTCAAGATTCACCACCAGTCAGTGCCAGCCAGCCTCCCAATCGCAAAAGTGCGGGCAAATTCAATAAAGAAAACCGATAATCGGAGAGGAAATTACTGCAGACGGAAGTGGCGCAATGTTTTATGCCGCCTTCAGCTCCATCGATTGAGGTTGAAGGTGGTTTGTCATCTGCTTGTGCGGGTTCGATACTGTACTTTTTGGCTAAAACTTTAAATAGGTTGGATGTTGGAGGTTTTTAGCAGGTTTTAAATAAAAACATATACACGCAGAAAAATGGATTTTTGTTTCAGGGCCTAATGTATTTTGTTATTGATTCAAATATATTGTATCACTATTTCAACAAAACATGTTTTTGAATCAATAAAATGGTTTTTAGAATCAACAAACAGATTATTGACTCTACAACCGGTTTCTTGATTCAAAAATATTTTTCTTTGAATTAACCGAATAATATATTTGAAACAATGTCTAAAATATATTAGGCCCTGAGTCAAAAATATATCCATTTGAACTTAAAAACCATTTCTCTGCGTGTACACATTTGGTTTCAAATCGTCAATCTCGTAGAGTATTACCACTGCACACCAAATTCTAGTTTTGATGTTCGGTAAATTTTCTTACGGTTTTGATATGTAAAATTTAATTTCTACTGAGTGATCTGTAAAATTGCTTTAATTTTCTCTTGTCTGTCAAATAACTACAAGTTTTCGGTAATTCCTATGAGAATATTACTGAAAATTTGCATCTATTTTACCGATGTAGATTGTAAACCATGAAATGTCATTTAATCTAAACTGTTCAGTAAAAGTTTAACCGATTTCCAGTGAACAATTCATAAATACTGACGAAAAATGTAAAAAATACAGAAGTTCAGTAATTATTACTGAACGCTTCAGTAAAAAATCACGCCTGTCAAATCTTCGTCAATTTCGCATGTTAACACTCCGAATCTGGAGGGGACGTGCTGTCAAATCAGCCTACTGATCATTCTTGTATAAAACTGGCTCCAAATGTAAACAATCGCTGTAGGTTTCTTATGGCTTGTTTACGTTTGGAACCAGTTATGCGAGGCATGCGAGGTAGGCGACGATTGTTCGTATATGACAGCCACCTCCCCCTTGCTCCGAATACGGTGGGCAGAGTTGCGACCTATCACAATCACCATCATCAAACAGCTGATGGTAGTAACACTTTGTACATTCCTATCAATGTGCTCGTCGAAGCTCTCTCCATGACCATCCATCAAGTTGACGAAAGAAGTAAAAAGCAACTGGTGAATGTCGTCTTCGGTTGTGATCCATCACCGATCTGGTCATTCCTGACAATCACGACATTCATCTGTGCTCGTTTTGAAGCAGTTGCTGCTTTGCTTGCTTATGTGAGTGTGTTGGTGACCCTAATAAAAATAACCATAAAAGAGAGCTTAACGACGTGTTCGGGGTATCATCCAAACCATTTGTGGGATAGTTTACCCATTCGGGATACAGTTCGTTTATGGTATTTGTTTATTAGAAGAGTGAGCCCAACAGCTTCCGTTTAATGTTGCCTGCTTTGTTTGTAACTCACACACTCGCGCCTGCCGAGACGAACTTGGAATGCGAAGGCATTGTTTTCATTTTCTTCTGTCGTTTCGCTTTTTCTCATGATCGTACTGCAGAAGTCTTCACTGTTTTCGTTGTGCTTTTCATTGTCAGCAGCGAGTGTAACGATTTGCTTGTGAGCAGCGACCATTACTGGTGATTGTTGTTTGCCATGGCTCTAACTCTCACTGCGTGACAAAACGATTTGTAAGCGATAGTCGGTTGATGCGAAGATGGGTGTCACGTGAGTGTCATGATATTTTGCATCACTGACGGTGGGTAAAAAACTTTACGCCGACTACGAAGCCTCCGAAAAACGTGTAACGGCAAGTTTGCAATGACACAACTTAGCCATTTCTTAATTAATTTCAAAACTTTTGGTACCTTTAGAATTCCTTGGGTTTGTAGATGATTTTGATTGTTAAAATAGAGTCGTTCACTTTTTTTAAAAACCGAAAAGAGTTGTTACACGTTTTTTTTTAAAGGTGTGTTTGTAGGGTTTTGCAAGTGGCGCAAGATCTGTAATTTAGATTAATGGGCACAAATGTTCACAATTAGCCAGAATACAGTCTTGGTTCCTATATATGGATTCTGGAGACAACGGAACGGTCCTCGAAAAATCCGAAACATCCGTAAAAGTGGTCAATCCATGAACCTGATCCTAGAGCTCTGCGGTTTTTTTTTAAACATTAGGAACTGTGGTATAGAAAAATATTTGAAGTCGTGACATAAACATGTACCTGGATAGCCATGGGACCGTCCTCCTTCTACTTCTTCCTCGCATTTGGCATATTACCGTGCTCTCAACTTAGTGTTCTAGATGCACTTCCACAGTTATTAATTGAGAGCTTTCGATGCCTGTACCATTTTTGCATTAGCATAATTGTGTGGCAAGTACAATCATACTCTATACCCAGGGAAGTCGGGAACTTTTCCAACCCGAAAAATTCATAGACCGGACCGGAAATTGAACCCAGCCACCTCCAGCATGGTCTTGCTTTGTAGCTGTGCCTTTACCGACTGAGCTAAGGAAGATCCGAAACATCCGTAAAAGTGGACAATCCATGAAACTGATCCAAGAGCTCAGCGTTTTTATAAACATTAGGAACTGTGATGATAGAAAGAATTTGGGGTTGTGACATAAACATGAACCCGGATGTCCATAGGACCGCCCTCCGGAAGATCCGGAACATCCGTAAAAGTGGTCAATCCATGAAACTGATCCTAGAGCTCCGTAGTTTAAAAAAAAACACATAAGAACTGAGATGGTAGAATGAATTTGCGGTCGTGACATAAACATGGACCTTGATAGTCGTGAAGATCCGGAACATCCGTGAAAGTGGAAAATTTACGAAACTGATCCTAGAGCTCCGTGGTCTTCTTGAAAACGTTAGGCACTGTGATTTTAGAATGAATTTGGGATCGTGACATAAACATGGACCCAGATGGGCATCGGACCGTCCTCCGGAAGATCCAAAAAATCCGTAAAAGTGGTCAATGTATGGAACTGATCATAGAGCTCCACGGTTTTTTCGAAAACATTTAGAACTGTCATATATAAATTAATTTGCGGTCATGACATAAACATGTACCTAGAAGGCCATGGAACCGTCCTCCGCAAGATCTAGAACATCTATAAAAAATGGTCAATCCTCGAAACTGATCTACGGTTTTTTTCGAAAGCATGTGGAACTGCGATATAAGAAAGAATTTGGGGTCATGACATAAACATGGACCCAAATGACCATGGGGCCATCCTCTGGTAGGTCCATAACATCCATAAAAGAGGTCAATCAATGAAACTGATCCGCAGCTTTTTCCAAAAACATTAGGAACTGTGATATAAGGCAGAATTTGTGGTCGTGACAAAAACATGGACCTCGATGGCCGTCCTCCGGAAGATACGGAAAATCCGTAAAAGTGATCCAGTGGTTTCTTATATCACAGTGTTTAAAAAAGAACTGCAGAGCTCTAGGATCAGTTTCACAGTATGACAAATTTATGGATGATCAGGATCATCTGGAGGACGGTCCAATGGCCATCCAGGTTCATGTTGATGTCTCGACCCTAAATTCTTTCATATATCACAGTTCGAAGTGTTTTCGACAAAACTACGGAGCTCTAGAAACAGTATCATGTATGGACTACTTTTACGAATCTTCCGGAGGACTGTCCCATGGTCATCCGGGTCCATGTTTATGTTAAGACCCCAAATTCATTCTAATATCACAGTTCCACGGTTTTTTCGTTCTTGGATCAATTTTATGGTTTGCTTGCTTGAAATCGGCTAAGGCCTTGCCCAAGTAACATCGCAAGTTTTATGAAGGTTTTAAAGTATGCTACAAGTTTAAATCATGGTCTACAGAACCCTTATAAAACCAAAATTGTTACTTGGGTGTTGTCCCCTGCTGTTCGAAGAAGTCGTCTCCACTCTATTCGATCCATGGCCAGACTTCGCCAGCCTCGTATTCTGCGAAGGGTCCGCAGGTCGCCTTCTACTTGGTCGATCCATCTTGCCTGCTGCGCACCTCTTCTTCTTGTTCATGTTGGGGAGCTTTCGATAACCATTTTCACTGGGTTTTCGTGCGACATTCTTACGACATGACCAGCCCACGAGCATAGTCACGGTCTCGTGGCTCTAGAGGACCACTGTTCTAATCAGCGTTTTTAAGATAATCAATTTCGTGGCGAATTTTATTCGACAGGAACGTTCTCCGGAGTCCAAAGGAGGCACGATCCCCTGCCATAATGCGTCTTTGAATTTCTCTGCTGCTATCATTTTTGGCGGTCACCAGTGAGTCCAAATACACGAACTCATCGACAACCTCGATTTCGTCACCGTCAATCTGAACTCGGGGTGGGAGGCTAACATTGTCTTCCCTAGAACCTCTTCCTTTCATGTATTTTGTCTTTGATGCGTTGATGGCAAGTCCAATCCGTCTAGCTTCAGCCTTCAGTCTGATGTACGTTTCCGCCATCGTCGCAAAGTTCCGTGTCATGATGTTGATGTCATCGGCGAAGCCAAGAAGCTGGATGGAGTTCCTGAAAATCGTGCTACTCTTGTCTATCCATGCTTTTCTGATCACACCTTCTAACGCGATGTTGAATAACAAGCACGAAAGTCCCTCACCTTGCCGTAACCCCCTTCGAGATTCAAAGGGACTTGAGAGTGTCCACGATACTCGAACAACGCACATCACTCGATCCATCTTCGCCTTGACCAATCACGTCACTTTGACTATATGTTTAATATTACTTCTGCGTGAAGTCAACGATTTACATAGTTGAAGATGCTAATTTCAAATAACAGACTGTAGTGGTAATTTTTATACGATAGATGGAGTAGATGAAAGTATATAGTTGATAGTTCCGTTAGAGTACGGCAGTGTGAAAATTGCATATAGATAGTAGAATATCGAGCTAGGACAACTTTTAAGGAAGGTACAAATCGGTTTTTTCATCTCTCTAAACCAAACTCCCCTTTTGGAGAGGGATGATGAGGGGTTTGAAGAATCGTTTTGTCGTGATGGTTGAGTAATGCTGAGCTATTGGGGTGTTCAACACGGATGACGCTGGCGAACTGACGCTTGGGGTAGATGTCTCACAACGGCTCACGACGAGCTACTGAATCCGATCAGTAGCGTTGCGGCTTCTTCGGTGAATCGAGGGCTCTTGAGGGCAGCCTTGATAGCTAGCTGCTTGCGGGGAGCCTTTCGTTGTGTACTGGAGAAAAATGTACAACGCCACGCGCCGAAAGCACTGCTGCTGCTGCTGATGATGACGACCGGACATCACCACTCACCACACGCGGTGATTGAATAAACACCGTTCGGCGAGACCGGATGGAATTCGATTTTGAAATTTATGTTAGGGAAAGCACTTTTTGCAGGCAATTCAATAGTGGCCTTTTGAAAATTGATAAAGTCTTAATTATAACACATTCGTAGAAAAATTTCCTATCGATTGGCGTATTAAGAATTAAAATCCATAATCTCTGGATCAAAAGCAGACCACTTTGATGCCGCTAGCGACATTGTTTTTTGAAATTGCACCCCCAATGTTGCCTTAAAAATACATGGTATGTTAGATTTGATCTTACGGGAACTCACATCCGACTAATGACCTTGACAAATGTCCAGAAAATACTCTTTAAAAAATTTATGGTGGTCCTGAAAAAGAGCGTTTTGTCGTGATGGTTGAGTAATGTTGAGCTATTATGGTGTTCAACACAGATGAGGCTAGCGAGCTGTATGTTGTTTGGAACGAGGGTGACGCACTTGGCATAGATGGCCCACAGCGACTCACGAAGAGTTACTGAATACAATCAGTAGCGGTGCAGCTTCTTTCTCCTTCTTAGGTTAATGGACGCAGGCAATCGGTAATAATTTTGATCACCATTGCAACAGTTGGAAATTTGTGTAATTTTCAATAGTGACCTATTGAAAATTGATAAATGGTTAAGTTTGACAGATTTGTAGAAAAATTTCCTATCGATTGGCTTGTTTTGAATTCAAATCCATCCGCTATTGACAGAGTGATAAGTGGTCAAAACCTGACCACTTTTCGTAACGCGGTTGATTTTAGGTTTTTTAAATTGCACCTCCAACATGTTGCCGAAAGACGTAATCGTATGTCAAAAAAAAAACCTGATCTTTATCAATTGTTGTTCGGTTTATTGAAAACATAAAAATGAGCAAACACCCTGTTAAACATATCAGAACAATCCAAACATATTCGATAACGACCGTGTTTTTATACGTTTACTTTCGTCCACTTTCTGCAACCGTTCCTTTTCTAGTAAAAAGTCCCTTAGCTCCATAGTCTTGTCAAAAAGTTGCTCTGAAAAAAAACAAGCAATAATCACCGACGCACATATTTTCCATTTATATTGAGGCCTATTCTGCGCCGCGAGTAAGGTAAGGTGACAATAGAGCAGTTCCAGGTAAAAAAGCAAAAAAAAAATAATTAATTTTAGAATCATTGTTCGATTTGTATGAAGCATTGCTTAAAATTTAACCTTTTTTGTTCAACTGCGTTTTGAATATTTTACAAGATCCAAAATGGCCGAATAAACAATTCTGCAAAGTTTTATGCAAATCGGGGAAAGTCGAGTTATTCCGAGTCGTTGTTTTGCGTGGAACTGCAAACATATGGGGGCTTATTACGGATGTCACTTCACGGTGAAAAGTTGTCACTTGTCGTCACGGTGAAGTGATTCCCATTTGATTTGTACGGTAATCACGGCTCTTATTCTGAGTATCACTTGCTTATCACCGTGTAGTGACACCCGTAATAAGGCCCATGGAGAGTATTATTATTATTTAGCTTTATTAAGGAGGCTTTCAGCCTTGGGCTGGTTTGCCTCCACGCCCATGGAGAGTCATCTCACTAGTGACAGCGAGTCGCCTCACCTCACTCGCGGCGCAGAATACGCCTCACTATAGGACTACAAACTTGTCAGAACCAATCTAGACGGCTCTTCTCCGCCATATTCGCTGGGCAGCATCTTCCGGGGCACAAAGGGATAAACTGTTTCTTCCTTTTGATGCAGTTGAAATATTTCCAATATCTCCTTCTTCATGAAAGGTTTAATCATAGCCACGATCTTATCGATGAACGGAACAACATTAATCAAGTGCACTCCCTTGAGCCGGATCGGCAATGCTTCCTGAATGTAGTTCAGAAAGTTTCTCAGCGTGAAAATACCTAACTTGGGCAAATGCCCCAAATGGAGACCGTCCATGTCGATGACCAGCTGAAATCCTTCGGCGCATCCTTCTTCCCAAAGTGCAACATCGACGCACATGAAGGCCCTAGCGGAAATTAGATATGCAACGGCTATGATGGGACAGTACGGAAGCGAAATGAACTTACAATTTCAAAAGCGTTGACAGGTTGAACTTGGCTGCATCGGAATCGACGATTTTAGCCAGAAGTACACGGTATCCTGCTGGCGTTTCTCCCGGGAGCACCACCAAAGATCTGAATTATTGGGATTAAATAATAATAATAATAATACAACTATACGACATTACTTACAACACATCCATCGATCGCTGTACAGGAACTGCCATTATATCCCTTTCATGGAAAAAATCCTTACAACTCGTACGAAAAGTGAAGAACGCTTCAACCGTTCGCTTTGCAGCTTCCAAATCGTAATAGTTAGACTGGATGAACTGAATAAGCTCGAGTTCTGTAAAATTATCGAACACATTTGATTTCCGCCACACATGCGATGAAGCCCTAGCTGCTTACCCGTTACCGGTGGCAAATGAGCCTTCGATTGCACCCACTGTTCCAATTCGTTAACATCTTGCTTCCGAAGATCCGGAAACCGTTCGTAAAGATTTTCAACACTGGCGTAGTTTACTATTTTCATCTTCTTGTTGCTATGGCAGTACAGTGTCCGATTGTTGTTATTCCTGCAGGAGGCGCGCAAATGAACTGACTTACGAAATCTCAGCACACTTGGCGCGGGAGTGCGGTTTTGTTAGGCTACTTAAGAGGAGCCAGTTAAAATAGTGAACGTAATGTTCGTTTTAATTGAAATGCGTAAGTAAGATCTTTGCACTTTTTTTTTTGTTTTCCTTTTTTGCTGATGTAGAACATTTGTGCAGGTGATTATCTCATGCTCTTTATTGCCTTCAAGAGGAGTTTTTTTTTGTTAATTCTTGTCACACATGAGAAGGTTGAACGTTGTAGGAGGTCACGAGTTGTTCTCGCGCGTATGAGTCTTTCTCAGTAAGAAGTAAACCTTCAAATTCAAATCAGGGGGAGGGGGTTACATTGCTCAAAAACCTTCTACGTAGTTTAGCCCCAGAAAGGCCAACATGCACACTAGCTTAGTGTAGAATTTTTAAACATTTCGACTTTAGACATTCTTACTCACCTTTTGCCTTAATTGTTCATAGAGTATACTCAATTCTGTTTTGGGGCCGTCCATATACCGCGTTGGCAGAAAATGCATAACTTTTTACCCCTCCGTGGACAAGCTGGACATAAACTCGACTCCTCCCTTCTGTGATGTCCACGTGGACATTCTTTTTCGTCAAGATATCCTATTAGAGTCGGCCCGTTTAAGAACTTTCCTTAACTCTGACAAAAGTTTCCAAATGAGTCCTTAGAAAGAGGTCAAAATGAAGCTGGTCAGTGATCGGAGAATAAAGTAGTTTGATGTTTATTCTACATATTATGAGCTAGGTATTTGCAGGGTGTCGACTAACTGGAAAAACCTTGAAAATCAGGAAATCTCAGGAAATTTTTCCAAAATTCAGGGTAATATTGCTTAATCCTCTCTGAAAAGTATTACTTAGCGAGATCAGTAGCGCGAGATGCTCTATTCTCCGATCACTGACCAGCTTCATATTGACCTCTTACAATTTAATTACTCGGTGTGGTTTTAGGGTGTTGGTAAATTAATAAAATCTTTAACAGAATTGTGAGCTTGTGGGTACTCAAATTGATTATTTTAATTGCTTAAACAAAGAACATAGTCTTCTCCAGCTTCATATGTATTGTATAAAAATTACAGATACACTACTGTAAGAACTGTCAAAATCCTATCAATTTACACTCTAGAGTTCGTGAGATTCTTTCTTGGCTAACTGAATTTTGATGATTTTGGGCCGTCCCTGAGTTGAGGTGGGATCCAGAGGGATGGTAAAAATCCATTTACATCTTTGAGTAGAGTTTTATCAACCGGTGGAAATTAACGATTTGAAATTAATTATTGGTACCAAGCGATGGGCTACAAATGGTGAGTCGACAAACTGGAAGGAGTGTTGTCCCAACAGCTCTGGTCCTCACAAGTTCCTACCTCACGCTTCCACGGGTCAGCCGATGACAAAGACCGCCAGCAAAAGATGCTGGTAGCGTAGCCTGGGCAATGTCACCACGATAAAAACATGGATCCGGATCGTGGTGATAGCAAAGTGAGGAGGTGCGACCCTCGAGCGTCTGTTCACCATGGAGGTGCGGCTCAAACAGCGTCTGTCTCGGAGCGAGCGGCTGAATAAGAAATGCTGTATCACGTCAGCTACACCTAAGGTGGCAGCCCCACCAACATGATGTAGGTATCGCGACCCCGGTAAGGTAGCATACTGAAACCCCCAACATTACTCAGAAAAACGAAGAAAGAGAAAACAACGAACGGAATTTTCGGCAACCGACCCGGCAACGAAATAAGGACAATGAATGGAAACTCGGTACTTGGAATGTCAGAACCTTAAATGAACCTGGACGAGCGGGCCTTTTGGCTCGTGAACTGCAAAAAGTGAATCTGAGCGTAGCTGCTATTCAGGAAGTACGGTGGCCTAGATCCGGAGAACGTGAATTCCGGGCGGTGGATCCCATCGCCAACACTTCCTTCAAGTATCATATCTATCACAGCGGTGGCGATAGGGCAGAACATGGAGTAGGGTTCATAGTGATCGGGAAGCAGATGAAGCGTGTTATGCGGTGGAGACCGGTAAGCGACCGCATCTGTGTATTAAGGATTCGAGGCAAATTCTTCAACTACAGCCTGATCAACATCTATGCGCCAACCAACGATAAATCCGATGACGTGAAGGACGCATTTTATGACAGTCTCGATAAAACTTATGATGAGTGCCCAAAACACGACGTGAAGATTGTAATCGGAGATGCAAATGCGCAGGTCGGGAGGGAAGATTTCTTTCGTCCAATCATTGGTACAGAGAGCCTACATACAGTAACCAATGATAACGGCCTGAAACTGATAAACTTCGCCGCTGCTAGAGGTATGGCCATCAGTAGCACCTACTTTGCACGCAAGAATATCCGAAAGCACACCTGGAGACACCCAAATGGCGAAACTTGCACCCAGATCGATCACATGTTGGTGGATGGCCGGCACTTCTCAGATGTCATTGATGTAAGGACTTTTAGGGGGCCTAACATTGACTCAGATCATTATCTTGTTGTCTGCAAAATTCGGGCGCGTCTATCGACCGTTACGAATTCAACGAACCGGAGATCGATGCGTTTCAATATCCATCGCTTGTCAGTAGAAGGTGTTGCTGCAGAGTACCGCCAGAAGCTTGATGAGCGGATTAGTGAAATCAACGTGAACGAGGACCTCAACAATCTGTGGAACACAATCCACGGAGCGGTGAACACAACAGCACAAGAAGTGATAGGTACAGCTCAAAGACGACCACGTAATGGCTGGTTTGATGAGGAGTGCCAGAGGTTGACGGATGAGAAGAACGTTGCCAGAAGCCGGATGTTAGTGTCTGGTACCCGGCTGAACAGAGAGCGGTACAAGGTAGCAAGGGCAGCTGAGAAACGAACCCACCGCAGAAAGAAAAGGCAATACGAAGAACGCGTGATTGCTGAGGCGCAAGAAAGTATGGAACAGAACGATATGCGAAGGTTCTACGCGACTGTCAATGGTGTGCGGAGTAAAACAGCGCCATCTCCCGCCATGTGCAATGACCTTGAGGGGAATTTGCTGACAGATAAAACAATGGTGGCTGCCAGGTGGAAAGAACATTTTGAGACATTGTTGAATGGAGAGAGTGAGGGAGTATCGAGGAACAGAGTAAACATCGCAGACGACGATCAAGCTGTGGAGCCTCCAACGCTAGACGAGGTTAAAAAGGCAATATGTGAGCTGAAAAACAATAAGGCTGCTGGGAAGGACGAGCTCCCGGCCGAACTTTTCAAACACGGAAGTGAGCAGCTGCATCAAGCAATCCACCGTATTCTAACGAAGATATGGGAGGACGAAGAACTGCCTGCTAGCTGGTTGGATGGCCTCATTTGCCCATTATTCAAAAAAGGGCACAGACTCGAGTGCGCCAATTATCGAGGAATAACTCTTCTGAATTCGGCGTACAAAATACTGTCACGCGTTCTGTTTAACAGATTGAGACCGCTTGAGGAGTCCTTCGTCGGTGAATACCAGGCTGGTTTTCGTGAGGGCCGATCAACGACGGATCAAATGTTTACCCTGCGTCAAATCCTTGATAAATTCCGGGAGTACAACTTGCAGACTCACCATCTGTTTATTGATTTCAAAGCAGCATACGATTCAGTGAAGAGAAATGAGCTTTGGCAGATTATGCTAGAACATGGTTTTCCGGCGAAACTAATTAGACTGATTCGCGCAACGCTAGATGGATCGAAATCAAGTGTAAGGGTTGCAGATGAGATTTCGACCTCGTTCGTGACCTTAGATGGATTGAAGCAGGGTGATGCACTTTCAAACTTACTGTTCAACATTGCTCTTGAAGGAGCGATTAGGAGAGCTGGTGTGCAGAGGAACGGTACCATCATCACACGATCGTACATGCTCCTTGCCTTTGCGGACGACATCGATATCATCGGAATTGACCGTAGAGCAGTGGAAGAGGCGTTTGTGCCTTTTAAGAGGGAGACGGCGAGGATTGGGCTCACGATAAGTTCTACCAAAACGAAGTACATGGTAGCCGGTAGACAGCGTGGGAGCAATAGTGGTGTTGGAAGTGTAGTGTTGTTAGATGGTGAACAATTTGAGGTAGTGGAAGAATTTGTGTATCTTGGAACACTAGTGACATGCGATAATGATGTTACCCGCGAGGTGAAGAGACGTATTGCAGCTGCAAACAGGGCCTTTTACGGATTACGTAGCCAGCTGAAGTCCCGTAGCCTGCAAACGAAAACGAAATTCGCTCTGTATAAGACGCTGATACTTCCGGTAGCCCTCTACGGCCACGAATCGTGGACGTTAAAAGAGTCTGACCGGAGAGCATTTGGTGTCTTCGAGCGTAAGGTGCTGCGAACAATACTCGGCGGTAAACAGGAGAATGGCATCTGGCGGCGTCGCATGAATCACGAGTTGTACCAAGTGTATAACGGTACGGATATAGTGAAGCTTATAAAACACGGCAGACTACGGTGGGCTGGGCATGTAGTGCGGATGCCGGAAGAACGACAAGCAAATATTATATTCAGCAGAGAACCCGGTAGAGGTCGTCGACTCCGGGGTAGACCTCGGACACGTTGGCTATTTGCAGTTGAGGAGGACATCAGGTCGCTAAACGTTCATGGCGACTGGAAGCGATTGGCTCAGGACCGAGTCCAATGGAGAAGAGTACTTCGTTCGGCGTTGAATCAACCTGGCGATTCGTAGCCCATCAAGTATCAAGTAAGTACCAAGCGATTAACGTATCTAATTCTAGTCGAAATTCTAGTACTACACTATGTTATTTTGATTCGCTATGAAAGTTTGACAGATAAAATGAGGGGTTCGTGGATTTTCCTACGTTTCGAGGGGTGCATCGATTAGCTTGAAACCGAAGAGAGTACCAGAGCTGAGCCAAAAACTTGAGCACGTTTCTTCGGGACCTTCTAGTCTTGGAGTTACCTCTATGGCTA